CTCTGGGTGTCCAGCTGGGTTTTGGAATACCAGGTGACTCAGTGTGCAGCTTGGTCCAGGATTAGTGAGCTGGCCCAGTCTTTCTGCCTTTGAGCTACAGGTTCAGCGGGCATTTTATGTCTAAGCACAGTGATTTAGAGGGCTGGGTACAGGAGGCTGAAGGTTCCTTCTCAGCCCATTGCCTCAGCTGCTGCTCCCAAGGCCCGCTCTCCCCCAGTGTCTGTGGGGGTGGAAGGCCTTGTACTGCAGGCCCCAGGCCCTGCTGAGAATTAGCTGACTCACCTTTCTTGTGCAAGGAACTGGAAGGAATCACGTAGCTGACTCATTCTTCAGGTAAAGAAAAAGGGAAGGAAAAACATCTACCGACTGTCTGATTAAGGGAAGAAGGGGGCTGAATTCTGGAGGGGGGGAAGCCATACATTTTAAACTATTGAGAAAATAAAAATTAATTAGACTGAGGAAGTAGAAACCTCTGCCATTCATCAGGCTGGGAGGACAGGCATCAAAACAGCTACAAAGAAACAGGGTTCCTCGCAAGGACCCGCTGCGTCTAAACAGTGTCCCACCAACCTCGTCTTCACACTCACTGAGAAATCACCTCTCTGAGATCTCTGGGGTCTCTTATACGGGCACTAATCCCACTCCTGAGGGCTGTGCCCTCAATCTAACCGCCTCCCCAAGACCCCACCTCTCATACCGTCACCATGAGCATTAGGATTTAATCTATGACTATCGGGGGGAGGGCTCAAATATTCCGTCTGTAGTAAGAACCACAGTATAGTTACTACATTAAGTAATTTAATATGGGTAAAATACTTTCATTAATCTATGACCTACATTTTTGTCAGTTGTCTCAGCAGTGTCCTTGAAAATATTCCCACCCCATTCCTGTCTAAGATTCAATCAAGAATCACATGATACATTTAGTTGTCGCTTTAGTTTCCTGTGATGTGGGCTGTCCCACAGTCCAAGCACAGTGATTTGTCTTTATGGCATTGTCATATTTGATGAATAAGGTCAGTTATTTTGTGGAATGTTCCTCAGTTTGGGTTTGCTTGATGTTCCTTCATGATTAGATTCAGTCCTTCCAGAATCCTATGTGAGTGATATTGTGAACTTCTCCAGGGATCACATCCGGAGGCACACAGTGTCCATCTCCCCTTCCTTGGTCCTTTTAACATGCCCCCATCATTTGGTGATGGTGGGAGGGCGGGCGTGGCGCTTCATTACTTTCTGGCGCAACAAAATGTACCAGTCTCATCTCACCAGTACCTTCCCTGCCCCAGCCCTGGAACTGGCCACTTCCCTGAGGAACCCTGATGGGTTTAAGTGATAAACAGGATCTGTATGTCATTCTGCCTCTTTACTATCCACTTACCACCCATCTGGCTCTACTCATTTCCCTGTCTATTAATTGGAATCATCCTCTTCATATGCATTTCTCACCATCATAAGCATTTTTCTACGTCATAAGCAATCTCTTTTAAATGGCGGCATAGTGTTCAGTTGCCGTCCACCTTTACGAATAATGCCGCAGTGACGTCCTCAGCATACAGTGCACCTCTGACCAAACCTCCGGATGTCTGACTGTTTGCTTGGACGACATTATCAGGCCATTTTGCCCGGACAACAGCACCGTGGGTTAGGCCATTTGGGTTGTGAGAGTTAGAGAAGCCATGTTTCCATTAGGAATGGCCCCGAAGCTTGGTCTCTGGGGAAGGCAGGAGGTGGAGAGGCTGCTCCGGGGCGGAGTGCCACGGTGAGCAGAGCTGGAGGCAGCGTGGGGCCTGGTGTGTGCAGGGGACTGTGAGGTGCCCCGGGGCCTACTACAGGGTCTTGACAGGGAAGGGAAAGGAGCAGACGGTGGCTGCAGGGTCGGTTTCCTACTGAGCAAGGGGGTGGAGTGTGGAGGCGTCTGTTCCCTCACTGCGCAAAGCAGAGGACGGTGCTTGGAGAGCTGTGGGGCTCCGGGGAGCATCTGGGACAGGGCCTGGGAGTGTAGCGAGGCATGAACCCCCAGCATTTGCAGCTTCTCCCTTTGTCCCCTAGCTTGGCACCCTGTCTCCTCCCTTGCTTGGCTTTGCCAAGCTGGCTCCGTCCCTAGGGCAGAGGGCCCAGCACCAGGGTTGCTCGGTTTCCTTTCATTGGGCTCGAATGCCCGTGGCCTGCTTTGCACAAAGCCCTTCTTTTCCATGGACCTTTCCCTGGGGCAAGGCCGGAGGGAGTGCCCCCCACCCCTCCTGGGCCTCACAGCAGCTCCAGAGCCATGGGTGAAGGAGGCCTGGGGGCCGCACGCAGCGGGCTGAGGTGCTGGAGCTCTGCCTCTGGGGAACTTGACCTGGGAGAGGGGCCTTCCCTCACTGGAGAGGTCCTCGCAAGGCTGGGAGGCTGTGGTGGTCAGGGAAGGCCTGGAGAGGGCGGGGACCAGGTCTGACCTCCAGCCCCTGTGCTCAGTGGTGGGGGGTGGAAGCTGCCGAAAGGCTTGGAGTGGATCTCAGGGGACTGAGGGAAAAGGGAGAAAAATGGGAGGCACCTTGAAGAGAAGTTGGGACAGTCACTGAGCCTTAATGGTCTTTCTGAATTGATGTTAGAAAGCCCTCCGACTGGGGAAACTGCTCTCAGGTCACTGAGCAGTGAGGCCTCATTGGTATTCATCTCCCATGTGGGGAGTCCTGGGGAGTGTGGGGCCCAACAGTGGGGGTGAGGTGGGGGGGTGGGGTTCCCCAGTGGCTGGAGGATGGTCTACAGCAGCTGATCTCCTCTCCTCTCCCACCCGCTTCTCCAGACATCCTTCTATGGCCGCTTCAGGCACTTCTTGGATATTATCGACCCTCGCACACTCTTTGTCACTGAGGTAAGTCATGGCTGTCACTCTGTGGAGGCCCCTTGGCCTTTGCACCGTGTCACTTTAGGAGATCCGTGGGCCATCTGTGTGTGTCCCTCATACACATTGTCTCATTTCATTTGGATCTCACCATGTCCCTTCCAGGTAGATAGATCTTCACCATCATCATCACCATCATTTCAAACTTTAATAAACTTATTTCCAACTACATGAGTTACATGCTCATTATAAAAGTCCAAACAGTACAAATGTTTAAGTAGAACCAAAAAGTAGCCTTTATACACCCTTCCTACCCAGTTCCCTCCTCTAGGTGATAAGGTAGAATTTACCTTTTCCATGTGAACCATGCTATGAATTTTGACAAATATTCAGTCATGAATCCAGCCCCACAGTAACAATGCAGAGCATTTCTATGACCCGAAAATGCCCCCTCATGCCCATTGGTAGTCTGTCTCCCCTACCCAGCCCCTGGCAACCACTTATCTGTTTTCTGTCCCTACTGTCTGGCTGTGTCCAGAATGTCATATAAATGGAATACAACAGTGTGTGCCTGGCTTCTTTTCCTTCACATCATGCTTTTGAGTTTCGTCTGTGATGTTGCGGGTATCAGTACTGCCTCTCCTCTCATTGCTGAGTAGTATTCCACTGAGAGGATGTTCCAGCATTTGTTTGTCCATCCACTTGTTGACGAACACCTGGGCTATTATAAATAAAACCGCTGTGAGCCTTTGTGTGGATGTATGCTTTCACTTCTGTGAGTAAATAACTAGGAATGGGATCGCTGGCTCGTACGGTAAGTGCGGTAAGTGTATGTCTCACTTCGTAGGAGACGGCCAGACTGTTCAGAGTGGCTGCACGTTTCACATTCCCATCCACCATGTTCCAGTTGCTCACCATCCTCACCAACACCTGCTCTTGTCAAATTTGAACAGATTCCGTTTACTTCAGCCGTCCCAAGAAGCGTGTCTCTGTAGCCTCTGTATATGTATTTACAAATGTGTGTAGGGATGCACGCACACACAAAATAGCAAAGATCTATTAAGCACTTACTGTGAGCAAGGCAGTGTTGTAAGCATTTTACATGCATCCGATCATCAGATTAACGCAAAGCAACCCATGAGGTAGATCTATTTCAGTTCCGTTTTGCAGATGAGGACATAGACAGAAGGTAAGTCTCATGGTATGAATGCAGGTAAGCTTGTCTCGGAGCCCTTACTCTTAGCCAGTTTGCATTCCTGTTCAGGCAACAGTTTGGGGAGCTTTTCCCCAAGATGACTGGGCGGGTGGGCCGCAGGCCTGAGCTGCTGCGCAGGCCACACCCCTGAGCAAGTCACTGAGCCCCTTTGTGGGCTTCCTGCGTGGACAGCACTTCCCTGCACATCTCTGTGAGCACTGCCTGGCTTCAGCCCCAGAGCTGATCAGCTCAGGGAGGGAAGGGCCACGGCGGAAAGGAGCACAAGGCCTGCCAGGCCCCTGGGCCTCGAACACCCCGCACTGTGCGTGGGAGCAGCCAGGGCTGTGAAACGGGGCGTTAACCGGGTGTGGTTTCCACTGCACGTCAGCAGGACAGAGGGCTCAGGTGTTTTATTGCTGGTCCTAACTGCCTCTGGGCCTACTGCCTCCTAAGGACAAGGCTGCTGTGCTCTCGGCTCCGTCTGCACTCTCCTAAGGAGTTGTCTATGCGATCACACAAAAATTGGGAAGAGCACCAAACTAGAGAAACTCCTTACCTAGCCTAGGTTATGTGTCTTTCTAGAAAGTTCCAGAATGGTGCAAAACTGGATACAGTTGCCACATAAATCCCAACATAAATGCTACCCGTTGATGGAGGAGTCAGCAGAGGCCAGTGCTTAGCTCAAAAGATGGAGGTGCTAACGGTGGTCTTTCAGGGGTGTTGAGAGGCGACAGAGGGGCACTGAGAAGGTTGGGAGGCATTTCAGTGCTCCCCAGTCACCGTCAGCCGAGCCGGCCGGGGCTCTGGGGATGGGTGCGCGGCTACAGAGTGACATGCTGCCTGTGCCGGGGGCTCACCCACCTCCAGTCCACCTCTCCTCGCTCCCAGACCACTTCACTCTACTTCTCTGCGCCTGTACCACACCTTTCATCTTGAGCTCTCACATTCTGAAAGGCTGCAGCATTCTTGTACATCACTAACCATTTGGGTCTAAATCCCATTACTAAATAGACAAATCTCACGCTTTATTAGTAATCGAGCTCACTGTCAAAGCAATTACTTACTAGCTAGAAAATAAAACCACTGCAATGTAGTTTTAGGATATTTTTCCGATTTCACATGTTCCCTCCCCTCATCAAAGATTATGATCGACTTCCCAGACGATCTTCACTTTTCCCCTAGCACTGCCTCCACCGCCTCCCCCCGTCCCACACCCGCCCCCAGCAGTTGGGGACTGTTTCCACGACTGCCTGCTGGCCTTTGGAAAGTTTCTGCCCACAGGAGATCTAGGCCCTAAAAACCCTGGGAGACCCGTGAGTGGGGTCTTCAGGCCTCGCTGGTTCTAGTCGAGGCAGGTGGCTTGGCAAGGCCACAGTGAGAAATCGGAGGCCCTGAGAGGCAAAGGGGCTCTTCCCTGAGCCCCTCCCCACGAACTGTGGCGCTGCCAGGAGGGCCAGCCCCCCCTACCCCCCCCTTCTGCTGGGCTCACTGACCAGGCTCCTGTCTCCAGAACACTGCTTCTCTCCCAGGGCCCTTGGCTGGTGTCCTGGGAAGCAGAGCGTGGGGCGCGGCTGCCCAGCCGGAGGACGGGCCAGTTTGCCTGTGAGGGTGGGAGGGTCGTGGAGGACAGGAGGAGGTGGCCCTGGAAACCAGTTTCCCGAGGTGGACAGATCCTGGGCAGCGTGAGCCACCTGGTGACCCGGTTCTGGGGGCAGTCGCTGACTGAACAGACAGACTCGTCTTGCGAGAGTTTGCAGCTAGTTGTTTGCAATTTTTGAACTGACCAAGCTTTCCAAAGATTCCAACCCTCTTGTGTGTAATGAGGCGGAGGAAGTTGTATTCACAGTAATTTCTCTTAGGAAGAAGGCCGTCTTTGTTTTATCACTGTGTTGAGCCAGGCTTCAGAGGAGGAGGCTGGTCTGCCTGACAGAGGGGGAGGGACTGTGCTTTGATCCTGGAGGAGAGAGGAGGGAGGAGGCAGGAAAGGGAGAGAGTGGGAGGGAGAGCAAGTAACCTGGCGAGCCAGTGCCTGGGGGCTCTTTTTTAATGTTTTTTTTTTTTTTTTTTTTTTTTTTTATTGATTTGGAGAGAGAGAGGAAGGGAGAAGTGTGAGAGTATAACATCGATGGCTGCCTCCTGCACGCCCCCTACCGGGGGAGCCACAATCCGGGCAAGTGCCCTGACCCTGAATCGAACCAGCGACCTCTAGGATGCCCAACCAACTGAGCCACCCTGGCCAGGGCCCTGGGGGCTCTTGTGAGGTGGGTCGTGCCTACTGTGCGTTGATGGTCGTTGACCTGACTCAGTATTGTCCCTTCCACCATCATTCCTGGAAAGCTGTCAGTGAAGTCTGCCTGGCTCATGAAATGTCCGCAAGAGTGGATCATTTGAGGGGATATTGAGGGGGTGTGGGTCTCCATCAGGGTGCAGTGTGTGTGTGTGTGGGGGGGGGGGGGTCAGGCCTGAGGAAGGAAACAGCCAGGAGCCGGCATGGATGTCAGCTTTGGCCCTCCACAGAAGTCATGGGATTCCACCTAGACCTCTGAGGGCAGTGGTGCCCCAGCTGACATCTAAGCTACTTTTAATTATGGGCTGAATGAAGGTAAAAGGGATTTGCTATTCTGAATTCAATAACTATTTAAGGGAATGAATGGTTGATAGATGATCATCCTGAAGAGCATAGAAAACTAACTGAAATAGTGTTAATAGCACCATTTCAATACTAGCACTGCATTGGTTAGTGATCTGGAACTTGGGGCTGTAGTGTAGGCTAGAACAAGTCAGTAATTATACGGATGTTGGGGACCATCATCACCTGCGAGTAGGGAGATACAAATATGAAGTAGGGAAAAGACAAAGAATTATGTGATGTTGAATTTGAATTGGAGGTATCAGTGTGAACTCATGATTCACACACACATTTCCCAGTTTCCTGGCTCTGTTCACTGAAAGGGCCTAGAAGCAATGATACCTGGTAACAATGTACCACTCACCATCCATAAAAGGAACCAGGGCTTCTTGTAGACATGGTCAGATCCACACGTGGGGCAAGGAGAATTGTTACATAAAGTAAGAAAGTGCACAGAGAGTGACGGAGACCCCGTAAATGGCTTGAAGGGCAACCCACTGGCCACATTTGGGACAATTCCAACCTTAAGAAGAATAAGAGCGATGGATTATGATACGTTGAGGTAATAATAAATCCATGAGTCCATAGTAATACTAAAAATGTGGGAGAGGGAAGCTCTTTGCAGAAGAGTGTCAGCTAATAAGCATAGAAGGAATAACCATTGTATAATCATTAATGTATGCTATTTCCGTAGAGCCAAAGATGGTTGGGGACAGGATATTTGTGTGCTCTTTAGCAGTTCCACCCTAAGGATTATTTAGCAATTACAAAGGGGAAAAGGTACCTTTACGGTGGTTGGAGGATACCTCTTTAACCAGATGACCACACTTAGCATCACTAACAATGAAAAAAACACACTCTATGCCTCCTGATATGATGTGATTCTGGTATTAACCCCTACATATAGGGAAATATACGAAAGTCTAAAGAAGAAAATAAAAACTGCTTATTACCCCACCTGCCAGAAATAATAATCTAGCATTTTGATGTATGTTTATGTTCAAAATTAGGATGTTTACAAAATATGTATAAATGTAGCTCTATATAGATACATAAAGAATCACGTATGATATATTTGTATACATAACATAAATGTATACATAATATATATTCTTTTTCCATGTAACATATCATGAGCATTTTTCCTTGTCATTAAATGTTGTTTTCAAAATGTGTTTAACAATTGCATGTAATTTACCATGTAGT